AGCAGAGACATCCACAAGGATACATCTGAGAGCAGAGACATCCACAAAGACACAACTGAGAGCAGAGACATCCACAAAGACACAACTGAGAGCAGAGACATCCACAAAGAGACAACTGAGAGCAGAGACATCCACAAAGACACAACTGAGAGCAGAGACATCCACAAAGACACATCTGAGAGCAGAGACATCCACAAAGACACATCTGAGAGCAGAGACATCCACAAAGACACAACTGAGAGCAGAGACATCCACAAAGACACAACTGAGAGCAGAGACATCCACAAGGACACATCTGAGAGCAGAGACATCCACAAGGACACAGCTGAGAGCTCAGACATCCATAAAGACACAACTGAGAGCGGAGGGACAGAGATAATTTTCTTCACAACTTCTTCTTAAAGTCCATGCCGTAGGCCGTTGGTATTCATGTTTATTCATAACCTTTTGTCTCTTGTACTTTCAGTCAACTCTGATGCTTATGATCCTCCATGTCATGATGTCAAACGGCACAGCATCTTTTCTCTTGGTCTCTCTCTGCGTCTCTCCTTCTTCAGATTCCCTAATGTCTTGATGTACTTCCATTTTTCTCCTTCTCATCACATGACCAAAGAATTTAGATTGTCTCTTTGTGATGTGGGCAATCAGTTCTTTTCCTGAAAGTTCTTTTCCAAACATCTTCATTACTCTTTTTATCTGTCCAGGTTTCACCATTTACTGCATAGAAAATAATAATAAAAGCAGGGGAAAAAATATGATCAAACTTAGTACAACTAATAATGTTAGATTAAATGGTCCTATATATAACACTGGGAGTCGCCGTGGTGTAGCGGCTGTCCGCTGGCCTGCGGATTGGAAGGTCGTGGGTTTTGATCCTGACGGAGCCAAACTTTTTTTTTTTAAACACTGTCTTTTTCCTGGTCTGTAGCTTCCTAGACCTCTTGGCAGAAGTTTCCCCCTTTCCCAAAATTCTTCTTCTCCAAGATATTCCTAAATGTATTGTGTAAGGAGATGGGTCTAAAGATACTGAGTTTTGAATGATCCTTAAAAGTTTACTCTTTCTATATATATATAACATTAAAGGAGAAAACGCATTTGAAATATTGAGGACTCTACATGAACAAGAAATTAGACGATTTAGCAAAACAGCCAAGATACTGCTTCATGTTAGTAGGAAAAAAAAAAAAAAAAATAAGACACACATGAATTTAAAAAAAATTAAAAAAAAAAAACATTTATTAAAAATATATATAAGAAGCAAAGATATCAGAGAAAACATTCGGGCTAATGAAAGAAAGAAGATAGTTAAAGCAAATCGGCCCAAGAATTAATATTTTTACAAATAGTAACTATACAAGAAAATTCAGAAGTGCGATTAGACTACTCACAAACAACACAAGAACCGATTTGTGCTAAAAGGTTAGTTGCGTATCCTTTACTGGAAAGCTACTGGCACCATTAGTATCGGAACTCTTCGCTGGCTGCTGAAGATGGAGACGGAGAGCTTATGGCAATGCCCCGGGTGCTGTGATGTCGGTTCTTGAATCAAATCAAATCAAAATCAACCTTTACTGGACGTTGCAGAACCAGCCCTAGCAGCCCCTGGCTGTTGTGTAGTTTCTCTAGGCATTTACGTCCAGTAGTTTGCCATTCCACTGGACGGTCGGCCCCCCTGATACAACTGTCGAAACCAACGTAAGGCGCTTGGCCCGCAGGTGGGATCGAACCCGGCACCTCGTCATTACGAAGCGTTCGAATCGACCGAGACAAAGAGGCTACGCTTGTAAATAGAGCGGAACGTAAAATGCACGGAGAAAATACTGACATTTTCAAAGAAATCAGAACATTATTAACAGCTCAGTTCAGACTGTCGTTCCATGTGAAACATGATAGAAATAGTTATACAGTTACATAAAGTTAAATAATATTAGAAAGACGAAATGTGTTCTATGAAGATATACACGAAGATATTTCAAAGAACTCAGATATTGTGCATGTGTTAGAGTGCGAGAGAACAAGAAACGTTATTCGAGAAGGTATGATCAGGGAAAACAAAGCCTTCTTCTTCTTCTTCTTGTGTTCGCCTGAAATAAGTTGTCTGTATCAGCAAATTTGTCTCTTGTATAAATTTCACTGTCGCCGTTAGTTCATTTAGTGGTCCATAGAGTTTACGTTCCACTGTTATTCCCTCGTGTCAAAAGGTTTGCCTTAATATGTCAAATTCGGTGCAGTCCTGGAGTACATGCTCTGCTGTCTGGGGCACCTCTCCACAGGTGCACATGGCTGATACGCCTATATTGAATTTTGTGTACATGTGGCTACGTAATCGGTTGTGCACTGTTCTGAGGCGGAGGATAATGACCTGTTCTGATCTGTCCATAATAAAATAGTTGTCTTGTGCTGGGGCTGGTGGTTTCCTGATCGATTTAATGATTCTTTTCCTTTGGTGAAATGTTATGTTATGTTATCACAATCGACGTCTTTGCACATTGGGCATCCCCATGCGTGCTTAGTCCTCCGATGCAGCAGCCACTCAAGGTACCTCTGCTTATTGTTCCCATGAGTAGTTGGTTATAGTATCTCCTGCCTGTACCTCTAAGACGGCATAGTCGTGCTTCACCAAGCTTAACTTCTCGGCCACTAAGTCGTGTTGGCGTCAGAGATCTGCCATTATCTCCCAACCTAATCCGTACGGCGTTGATGATATCAGCTCTGTCCATGCTTTTTCCCGTTTGCATTGGTGCATTACTTGCCAGCTGGTCAAATCTCTCATTACCATTTTTGTGTAGATCCAGATGATGGAGGTTAACTGCGTCTTCCAAACGCTTTCTAACCATTCGGAGCGGAGACTACTTGTGGCGATTTTCTGAAGCATGTTTATAGAGTCTGAAACAATTACCGCATGTGTGGCCGCTTGTTCTGCTACCCACGCGAGTACTCTGGTAGCAGCAGCTTTCTCCATGGCCAATGATTGACATAGTCGTCTGGTAAGCGCTGCGATCCTCTTTTAATGTTTTCCCCATCCTTTGGGCTATGTATGCTCATGCTGATCTTATCCCGCGTTTCACTGACTTAATTAACTGTGTTAATGTAGACGTCTTCTGTGCGTAAGTACTAAGCAATCAGTGCTCTAATCTCGGCGTCTACGGTGGTAGGTATCTGATTCCTGCTGTACCTCCCCAATATTATAACAACCTTAGACAAGTCATGCAGGTCTACTGGTGTATCCGTCCATTATTTTCCGTGACTGATCTCGTCTAGGGCACATACTTGCTGGATTATATTTTCTGCCTCGGTCATCCAGGAGGAGCCTCTTTTGAGACGCGTCCCTTTGATATCATTGATAGCGTTGTGCAGTGGGTGGGTTATGTCTGCTGATATTCTCATCTACTCTTTTACCTGTGCCACTTTATGTCTGGTGGCCACAGTCGGCAAACCTAGGACATACCGCATTGAATGGCACGAAGTGTCTTTTGTGTAGCCGATTATGAGTCTCATGGCCTCATTTTGTACCCGGTCCAGTCTTTCTAGCTGGGTTCTGCTGACAGTGAGTAGGCAGGGACCAGAATCTATAACACTTAGAACAAGTCTCTGATAGAGCAGGAAAAGTAGGCGTTGTTCAATGTCGGCGTATGCCATCGCCCTCAGCACTGTCAGACCTTTCCTGGCTCTAACTATGACATTGCTACTTGATTCTTGTATGACAAGCATCGGTCAAAAGTTATGCCAAGGTATCTCACTGTGTTCGTTCTATCGATATCTATACCGCACATGCTCACGACTGGCGTAGGTGTACTGACAATGTGGGTGTTCAAGGAAAACCATGTTAAGGAAGCCTTTGCCCGGTTTACCTGTGCTCTTGATTCCTGGCACCACTCACTGAGTCTGTCAAATCCATGCTGTAGCGTTGTCGTAATTTCCTCCCTGATGTTGCCTCATCGGTACACCAGGATGTCGTCTGCGAACAACATTGTTTTGCCCAGACATACTATCTGTGCACTGGTAACTAATGATGTGTACACACTAAAGAGAACGGGTGATCACTGGGGCAAGCCCATTAAGACGCGCTGAGGCTTCGATGTCCACGCACCGCACCTCATTGACACTGTTCTGTCGAAGAGCTCTGGGGAATGTGACTGGTACATCCGGCTGCACTTTTTTCGCACCTTTCCTTGCCAGTTCATCAGCTTTCTCATTTCCAGGCACCCTACAAAATGACGGTATCCACTGCATTACGACTCTTCGCTGAAGGCTGAGTTGTGTCAGCAGTGTTTGCAATTCTGGTAGTTTCCTAAATTGAAGTGCTTCAAGTAGTACTGATTTTTTTTTAAAGGCGAAAGACGAAGGGATGAGCCTACTCTCCTCTACGATCACAGACTATCCTAGCAAAACAAGGTGCTGAGGTTGGAGGCAAGCAGCCAGGAGGCGTACCACAGCATCAGGATGCCACGCAGACACGCCATGGAAATATGTCTAAATCAAAACAAAGCCTAAACAAAACACAATTCACTAGGCTATGATGGCATGTATGTTATGGGCAATATTGGAGCAAATCTGTAGCTCTCATTTCATAAATGCATTCGTCAAGATATAACATCTTTGGCTTTCTGAACAAGGGCTGTTTCAGGTCAACTACATCCCTAACAAGAGTTGACTAATTGATGGTTTCCTTCGAATTGGAAGTGCATCTGCCTACATGCAAGGAACCAATAATCCGCATACAAACAAGTCAAATCTGTAAAACGGATGTGTACGCAAAACTTAAGTTCTGGAACAGGGCTTAAGTCTAGAAGTAGACAAACAACCAGAACTTTATACCAGAGTTTACAGCCGGTGAAAGCGAAGAAGAGAATTAGCGGACTGCCCGCAGTTTCTGCAGACTGGTGTCGATCCTTGTATCCTAGGATTACAAGAAGAAGAACATGGTGCTAGATAACGATAAGAATGCATGTTATGTTGTAAGGCAGATTTCTACCATTTTATCAATAATTTCTCCAAAACTACACTTTCTTCTTGAATATGCCTTTGACCTTCTTGAGTGTACCAGACAAAGATGTAGTGGAAGCTCGCTTGTGAAAGTTACTGTCATGAGCTGATGCAACCAAGTGCAGATCCTGATCTCTGTATTGCGCAATGCTCCGATGTATAAACTTCTGAATTTCAAAATCCGGCTGAAACCCATAGCTGTGCTCACGGAAGATTCTGAGCTGGTCTATGATGTCTGTGATGGATCTGATGAAAGTAACAAATAATGTCACAGGGTCATTATAGTGAAAAGTCTACTACGAATAACACCGTTAAATCTAAAGCTTCTAAATTTACATTTACAACTCAGCCCATTTCTGTTCAGTAATTAAACTCTCTGTACATTAGTCAAACAACATGACAACCACCTGAACTGGGACAACAGTTATGCTGCGTGATTCTTTGTACATGATCCGGCGCGTTGAGTCAGGTTTGTTTGTTTGTTTGTTTGTTTTAGTATCCAGAAGCCATGAGTTGTTAACCTTAGGCTCGGTATTATGGATATCGCAACCTTTCGGCCTTGATTCCATTGTAAATACCGTAAATCTGGGAAAAATGTGGCTTTTCTGCCTACCCCCGGGAGTGAACCCTGACCACAAGGAGTTCGTCACCCGGTCTCCGCGCAATCCTGTTTCGCCAACTACGCTAGAGAGCTGGGCTGGCAGGTGGGTTAGACAGACTGTAAATTGAGTCACTGCTAAACTCCTGTGTGTGCAGTTATCTTTATATTTGTTCTAGGTCATGGAGGTGTTGTAGGTAATGAAAGACTTGAAAGACCGGCAGGTGCCGCATTAATTGAAGATAGCCTGCCCATGGATCACGGCAGGCATTGTTAATGCTCTTGGAGAGAGAGAGAGAGGAAGTTCCGATAATTTTTAAAGCAACGAGTTCGCATCACAGCTAATAATAAGAGAATTGAGAATACGAGAATTTGTTGTAAAAATCGGCACTTCCAAGCACGAGAAGCACACTGGACGCATACAAAGTCTTGTCAACCAAGCCTGGCACTATTAACGGCGCGACGCTGATGAATATTTTGAGAGGGGAACCTGAGCACCTATGGATGTGTCTGGAGTGCTGTAAAGATAATCCAACTTATAACTCATAACTCATATTTCATAACTCAGGATAACAGTTTATTTTGTAAGCGCTAGGAACACCAAAATAGATGTTTTATACAGTTAAACAGGATTTGCAGGATTTGTATTTGTTTGAATCTCCTCCCCGTTTAGTTTCTGGGGTCCCATTGTGGAGAGAGGGGGGCATGGGAGGATGAACAGACCCACTCCCAGCTAAAAAGCATGTCGTAAAAGTCTGCTAATTAGTAGTATAGTAGTATTTTCTTCAAAGTGGGAGTGCATCTGCATGAAAGACAAAGAAACCAACAGACTTCGTATATCTGTAAAACTGATGTGCACACATAATTTAAGTTCTGGAACGAGACTAAAGTCCAGAAATGGACGAAGAATGAAAACTTTCTGCCGGAGTTTACAACCGGTAAAAGTGAAGACGAAGAAAGAAAAAGATTCTCTTCCTTAAAATGTTAATCCTGCAGCTTAAAGTTCTGAGAGAGAGAGAGAGAGAGAGAGAGAGAGAGAGAGAGAGAGAGAGAGAGAGAGAGAGAGAGAGAGAGAGAGAGAGAGAGAGAGAGAGAGAGAGAAGGGTGGTTGGGGAGTGCGGGGAGGCAGTTATGTGTTAGACAATGTGAGGAATCGATATCCACCATTATTTATTTGTTAACACATTGTATATTCTTCCAGGAGCTGATTTTCAAAATATATCTGTCCTTTACATCCATCAGTTCTTAGCACTTCTTCGACTGGTTCCTACTTCTTCGACTGGTTCCTACTTCTTCGACTGGTTCCTACTTCTTCGACTGGTTCCTACTTCTTCGACTGGTTCCTACTTCTTCGACTGGTTCCTACTTCTTCGACTGGTTCCTACTTCTTCGACTGGTTCCTACTTCTTCGACTGGTTCCTACTTCTTCTACTGGTTCCTACTTCCTCGACTGGTTCCTACTTCTTCGACTGGTTAATACTTCTTCGACTGGTTCCTACTTCTTCGACTGGTTCGACTGGTTCCTACTTCTTCGACTGGTTCGACTGGTTCCTACTTCTTCGACTGGTTCCTACTTCTTCGACTGGTTCCTACTTCTTCGACTGGTTCCTACTTCTTCGACTGGTTCCTACTTCTTCGACTGGTTCCTACTTCTTCGACTGGTTCCTACTTCTTCGACTGGTTCCTACTTCTTCGACTGGTTCGACTGGTTCCTACTTCTTCGACTGGTTCGACTGGTTCCTACTTCTTCGACTGGTTCCTACTTCTTTGACTGGTTCCTACTTCTTCGACTGGTTCCTACTTCTTTGACTGGTTCGACTGGTTCCTACTTCTTCGACTGGTTCGACTGGTTCCTACTTCTTCGACTGGTTCCTACTTCTTCGACTGGTTCCTACTTCTTCGACTGGTTCCTACTTCTTCGACGACTGGTTCCTACTTCTTCGACTGGTTCCTACTTCTTCGACTGGTTCCTACTTCTTCGACTGGTTCCTACTTCTTCGACTGGTTCCTACTTCTTCGACTGGTTCCTACTTCTTCGACTGGTTCCTACTTCTTCGACTGTCTGTAGGAGAGGGTGTCTTGAACCTGAAGATTTAGAGCTGCTTGTCTAGAGCTGTTACCTCAAACTGTGATACAACTGCTGTTTCCATCGACGAAGAACTGCATTTCTGTTGTCGTACTGTTTGTGCTGACACTTCTGGCGTCCTATTCATTTAATGCGCGTGTATGCTATTAGATTTGTTGCACATTTGTGTCTGAGACAAATATCTGTAAGAGTGACCAAAGGCGTTGGACTTGATTCCATCCATATTTATACTTCTAGTCGTCCCCTTGTGGGATGCAATTTTTCGTTATTTAAAAACCCACCCTGGCTTTTACCGGGGGCCCTGAATATAGCTGGGTAACAATTATGGCCATAACAGATGAAAGGGGTTTCTGGGACCTCTCCACGGTGATCCTCATCAGCATGGTGGCACTTTGTGTCACCGGGTGTTAAGCGCTTGTATGATGTCCTGATGGGGTACAACCAGCAAGCAAGCATCCATGATATCTAGATGATTGCAGAGAATAGAATGGAATGGAAGACTAAGGTGCGAACCCTATAGGTCGTTTAAAAACAGGAGGATGATGATGTTTGTATCTAAAAAATATGTGACGTACGAACAACACTGAGAATCACTTGGAATTCCCACCTCATTTTATCCCACTTGTACATTCCATTAGCCAGCGTGAAGCTTCCTATCTCAGCCTGCTGAATGTGCAAAGCAAGAAAGAGAGCACAGGGAATAGTGGGATAAATGTACCAATCTTTGTCCTTCATAAACCACAGCGGGTCACTTTTCAGTTTCATCTGTGAAAATAACAGTTAACAAATAGAAAAAAAAAAAAATGAATACAACAGTTTTAAAAGAGTACACAGCTAAATATGTATTAACATAGACACATGCACATGCCCAAATAAGCGTACTCACGAATATATCACTATTATAAAGCACACAACAAACAGGATAGAACAGAATGGAAAAATAATGTGAGCCCTATGCGATGTGTAGTGCCCAAAAGACAACGATGATGACGATAGACACCCAATAAACACCAACAGACATTCAGTATAACATGAAGCCAGTCAGTTACAATAGAGTATTAATCGCAATAAATGAGATGCAGTGTAAAAAAAAAAAACATATTTTACTGTAGTTAAATTTCTATTGTATGTCTCAACATATCCCCAGAAACATGTATCCTTGAACTATACAAAACCACAGCTGGCCCACACGGGGAATACCGGCTGTAAATTCCAGTGGGAGGTTATAGTCGTTCATCTATTTCTTGACTTCAGACTTGTTTTAAAATGTGAATTTTGCATGTATATCTGTTTAACAGAACTGGCTTATTTGAATGCAGACTGCTGGTTTCTTGCCTCTCACGCAGATGAACTCCAACTTCCAAGGGCAACCCCCCCCCCCCCTCCCAATCAGTTGCCTTTTCGACATGCTTGTAGGGGTACAGTGGACTTATTTACTGGAAGTAGACTCACCCTTCAAAGAATAACAGCCCCCTGCCCCCCTCCAGATCCCCAAGCTTCAGTTCTCAGCACCCACCAAGTAGGCATTTTACTCATCTCAGCAAGGTGAACTGAGGTTAAGTTTTCATTTAATATTATTTAGTTGCTTTTGCGTTTAGATATTTTAATATTAAGCACTGTTTAAATCATGTTGTACAATTACATGAATATTTAATACGCCATTAACAATTGATTGTTTTCACGGGAGTGAATTAATCATTCACTTTTTAATTCTTTTGATATAAGCTCTGATTTAAAACATCCGCTCTATGTGGGGCACAATTTTTCGTTATTTGAAACCCCATCCTGGCGGATGCCGGGAGCCCTAATATAACCCAACATGTGAGCTAAACAGGGTTTTTGGGACCTGTCCCCGGGTAATCCTTATTCGAATGGTGGAACTTTGTGTCAGCAAGCGGTTTTCGCTCGATGTGATGTCCTGGTAGTGTAGAAATCAATCGATTTTGACATACATCCTGTTTGGTATAAGTCCAAGAATCTGGAACGGATTGAGGATGCGCGCCCATTCACACATTAATAGATGTATATATGATAAAAACTAAGTAACTTTTGTTGAGTAGTATGTTTTGATTAGTATTGATTAGTCTCTTACTTTTATATTTGTCAGCTCATTTATGTAGTCCACTGATTTGGCTGGGATAATTTTCCAAGCTGGCAACTGTCTGATGACCAAATTCTCCAGTCCATCTAATATGGAGAGGGCGGTCGCATAATTTCTGACTTCTTGACATAGATGAGCAACAGTCAAGAATTTTGTGATCAAATTGATTTGTGCCTAAGATAGGGCAGAAAAAAAAAGTGTCCACTGTTCAGTAATTTTTCATTTGCACGTACAAAAAAAAAAAAAAAAAAAGCAAATAAAACAAAAGCCAACAGGGGACTAACAAAATACATACAGAAACAAATTTGTGTTATAAGAAAAACGTCTGCTAGAAACTATCAGTCTCAGTCGATTTTACTTTATATGCCCGTAATAAAAACACAACAAACTAAAAAATTAAACAAGGCATGTATTACTTTCAAAGACGCAAACAAATACGGTGCATCGGAGTACTAAAGTGAATCTTATCAGAACTATTTTTTGGCCAACACTATGCTATCAATGCCAAACGTGGACACTTACATCCTCCAATAAACGTAAAATTGTGACAACAGAGATGAAATGCCTTAGAAGAGCATCAGGAGTTTCAAGGAAAGACAGAATACGAAGTCACGAAATCAGACGAATGCTAGGAATAAAGCCAGTCTTACAGGTGATCAAAGAAAAACAAATGAAGTGGTTTGGACACCTAACAAGAATGCCATGGTACTATCTGCCACAGCGAGCCACACTAAAACGTTACAACGGGTATAGAGCGAGTGGAAGACCTCGGATAATTTGGAGTGTTGGCATTAAGAACAGCCTTACAGAAATGAAGATCAGTCTTACTAATGCTCTTGACAGAGCTCATCAACGAACGTTACATCTCCCCCCGACACTTCGATGAGGTACAAGGTGGAAGAGAAGAAGAAACAAACAAATACGGTACAAATACGCAGCCTTTTATGGTAGCCGAAATGGATATGTCTTGAGAGTATTGCGCACCAGTTCAACGATTTTTAATAAATCAATGTGCAATCGATAGGATATGTAGCAAATATCAGGTTGGTAATTCACCAGAATATATCCTAGAGTTACCTTTAGGCTGGGTCGACATGGGAGTTTAGGTCTATTAAATAAAATGCGCTCAGATAAGGAGTTAAATTTTTGAACGCCAGATAGGAGATAAACGGAAAAAGAAGAAGAAGAAGAAGACGAAGAAGTCAATGATGAAGAAGAAGGGTGAGGAGGCGAGAAAGGGTGGTATAAGGGGAAAGAGGTTTTCATTTTTGTAATTTTCGTTTTGTTTTGTTTGCTATAATGTGGATAAGCATGATCACTCAAGCCATTTGGTAAGGCATTTGATGATGAGAATTTGTGGTAACTAATGATTTTCCACAAGCAACACCACTGACGATGATGACTGCGCCAAGCACAACAGTGATGACAAATATCAACATTTGTTAAGTAATTTTTAAGTAATTTGTTGGCATCTAATTAATAAAAATTCCAGGATAGATTCTTAATGAAAAAAAAAGGGGGGGGGGAGGGGGAGCAGAAACAGAATAAGAAACAGATATCACACTACTATATGATCTCAGGACTGGGTATTGGATGTCTAGCAATCACAGGTGATGAGTAGGTGACAGCTTAAGCCCGAGAGCAGGCAGCATATAGCTGTGGGCCACAATCACATGTTCCCGGCGGTAGACAGAGGATGGCCCTAGAGTGACAGTGGTTACGGTCATCGACCCAGAACGCTTACTGCTAAGAAGGAAGAGCAATAGCAAACTACCTTCTTCAAGATGCCAACAATAATCATAATTTCACAGTCCGGTCTCTAGAAGTTGGTAATGACTGGTATCGTTCGATGGAGAGAGAGAGAGAGAGAGAGAGAGAGAGAGAGAGAGAGAGAGAGAGAGAGAGAGAGAGAGAGAGAGAGAGAGAGAGAGAGAGAGAGAGAGAGAGAGAGAGAGAGAGAGAGAGAGAGAGTAAAAGGAAAGCAAAGTGACAAATACCTGGATGCTTAAGCTATACGGACCTTGATTAGTTATTCCGATGATTGTGAGATGGCAAAACACAACAGTCTACACTTATCGGTATGGCAGGTAATGGTGGTGGTGGTGATGATGATGATGATGATGATGATGATGATGATGATGATGATGATGATGATGAAGATGGACATTTTTAGACAGCGGCGATTAACTGGAAGACCCAAGTGCTTGGCAAAAACTGGGCAATCGACAATTGAAAAGAGCAAACCGAACAGAACACAGCTTAGGTCACATTTCAAAATTAAAAATCTCATCAGCGGTAACATATTTATAGCAGATATAATTCAATTGGATGGACAGAGTATACAGGGGAATTGTATGATGATAATAGACCAGACGTAGAACTGCAGACCAACAATTATGGTCCACCAATAATGACTGCAGAAGTTGAGGATGCAATACATCATATGAAGAAAGGAAAAGCACCCAGGCCAGACAACATCTCACTGGAAGAAATCGAAGCACTGGGAAATTTTGGAATTGAAATAATAACTAAACTTTTAAATGATATTTAAGATAGTGGGTATATACCAAATGACCTTTTAAAATCCATATCTATAGCTCTGCCAAAGAAGCCAGGCACTCTAAAATGTGAAGACCATCGCACAATAAGTCTTATGAGTCGCATGACTAAGATTTTACTGAGAATAATTATGAGAAGAATAAGAAACAAAATTAAACCAGAAATCAGCGATGAACAATGTGGATTTGTAGAAGGAAAAGGTGCAAACAATGACATATAAATCCTAAGGACATTGTCAGAAAGAGCTATAGAAGTAAAGACTGATTTGTACTTATGCTTCATAGACTATACAAAAGCATTTGACTGTGTGAAGCATGAAGAAGTAATCAAACTATTAGAAAAATTAAACATTGATGGAAAAGTTCTACGAATAATAAATAATATGTATTGGCAGCAAACAGCAGCTATAAGAATAAACAACTGTTTAGGTACATTTCAAAGCATAAAGAGGGGCGTACGACAAGGATGTGTACTTTCACCTGATTTGTTTTCATTATACAGTGAATATATAATGAGATCTTTAATTGATATGCCCGGAATTGTGGTTGGTGGGCACAATATAAACAATTTACGTTATGCTGATGACACAGTCTTGATAGCAACAAGTCAGAAAGAATTACAGGAAATGATAGACATTGTGGTGTTAGAAAGTGGAAGAATTGGCCTCAGTTTGAATAATGGGAAGACAGTAATGATGGTATCAAAGAAACAAATTATTCCTAAATGTGTAATAAAAGTCATTGGTGTTATTTTAGGACATGTACAGAAATTTAAGTATCTGGGCACATGGATAACATCAGATGGAAGATGCATAACTGAAATAAGAAACATAATTGGACAGGCAAAAACTGCATTTTATAAAATAAAATAAAAACATCTTGTGCAATATACCCTTGTCATTGAGAGTTAGAAAAAGAATTCTTGCTTGCTACATACATCCAGTTTTAACATATGGGTGTGAATCCTGGACAATCGGTAGGCAGGCCAAACAATTTTTAGAGGCCTCATAGATGTGATTTTATTCTATTAGAATACCTTGGACAGCCAAAAAGAGCAACCAAGAGGTTTTGAAAGAGGCGGGAGCCCGAAGAGACAACTTATCACAGACATCAGAAGGAGACAGTCATCATTTTTCAACCATGTTATGAGAAGAGGGAAAATAGAACATGCTGTGACCACTGGAAAGATCTGTGGAAGGAGGGATAGAGGAAGACAACGAAAGAAGATACTTGACAGTCTTGCTGCATGGCATGGAGGTGTGTTAGCACACGAACTGATACATGCTGCAGGAGATCGCAGATTATGGAGAGGCATGATCGCCCACGCCAGTCGGCAAGGCACCTGATGATGATGATGATAATTCAATTATACGCAATATAGGCAGACATGCAGACAGATTGGCTGTATCTGCACCGCTGGGTGGTGAATTATTACATGATAAGGCAGAAGTGGTCAAGGCCCTTTGGGAACTAGCAACGGAATCAGTAGAGATAAGAGATTATGGCCTGGAGAGAATGAGGCATCTGGTTGTGACCAGATGTCTGGCCGGTTCACTACTTTCAGTGGTAAGGAAAGATAGACATATAACCAGATTGTGACAGGTACCATCCCTATTGGAACTCGGCTCTGGCTGCTGAAGATGAGGACAGAGCATGCATGGGAATGTCCCCAATGTGCTGTGATGTCACTTCTTGAATCAACTCTACTCAATACACTACAGAGTTTGTGAACTGTGCCCAGAATCTTCTTTATGATATACAGAATAACATCAATTAAAATATTATTAAAACCATAATAATATTAATACAATGCAATAATGTAGCAAGAAACACTGACAAAACCTATTACAATCATATTTAAAATCATACATATAGAAAAATAATTGACTAAGTAGAACTATTATTGCCGAAACCAACCTTGCTAGAGCCACTGTTTAAAATTTCTGCTGACACCCAATGAGCTAATTCTTGTGAATGGTTTATCATCTGCACAACATACGACTCTATGAAAGGTTCTCCCACAAACAGTCCTTTCTTTGTCCCTCGACTTTCTTCTAATTTCCTGAAATATGTACAGGGTACAAGTCTTATTCACCAATAATGAGGAAAAACAAGAGTTGAGGTGTCCTATTAAAAAAAAAAAACAAAAAACAATGCATCGAGAATTTGAGCGAGTGCTGGTAAGCTGAGATTTAAAACGATAAATGCCAAAGAAATGTATGGACAATCACTGGTAACAACAGTATAAGATATAAAGGGAGTTTTATTGGATACATCCTGAGCAGAATCGAGCAGAGGATCACCGAACAGGCACCAAGATTGGAAATAAAGGGATTAAGGAGGCGAGGAAACCTCCCGAAATTATAAAACGAATGTTGAGAAAGATTTAAGGTAACTGACTGGATTCCGTCCATGATATGGAAGGGATTGTGTAGGATAGAACAGAATGGACGAATAGACAGTGAGCCCTGTGTGAGGTATAATAGCACAGCAAAACAACGATGATGATGATGATGCATCAATGATGGGGAAAATAAAAACAGAATCAACAGATAGTTTGAGTAAAAAAAATTGCCACAATGTAACAATGTATTCTTCTATCGTATATACATAGTGTACTGACCTGGTCATCAAAGGTGTTCTTAGACCTGGCATTGAAAGCGCCACACCAACTCCTTGAAACTGGGAGTTGAGGAAGTGAACAGGGTGACACTTTTTAAACAGCTCCTGCAACAAGGACATTAATCGTCAAGCTAGGTGACTAGCAGTTGTAACACTGGTCTCTGGGTAGTAAGCCTGGACGCCCGTGTGTATTATTGCGCGCGTAAAAAAATCCCGTTGCAGTTGGAAATCGAAATAGAGTAGCCTAACGTCGCTACCCAGGCAAAATTTAGAGTTAAAAATCCACCCATTTGTTCAGGGTCCTCGCCGGTGCGACGGAGTTCGTGCATTGCGCTTAGATTCTTCAGACTCAAGCTTGAGTTAGAAGCAGAATGGAGCATTTATGGGTTACACCCGTATGCCATGACGCTGATCAGTTAAATAATAAACATAGTTGTAACACGTAAATACTTTATCTCTTTCTTTTACTATCATTCTCTCAGTCTCGCTTACTCATACACTGTCGGGCAAACCCGCGTAAACGCATACAGACGTATCGTTCTGTTTCTTCTGTCTCTATTTTTCCGTCTAATCCTCATGCTTTCTTCCCCTCTCTAATTTTTAGCATCAAACAATAGGAGATGTAAGAATGCAGTTGTTTTAGATAGGTCTGTGTGACTAATACTTGATACTTCGAAGAAAAAAAAATTGTTCATTTATTCTCACTTATTCTCACACTATACTTTTTACACATCTTATACAGTAAGAAAAAAGTTACTCGATGAGAGAGCGGTCAAAGCTGATGGTTCGGATTCCATGTGTAAGACTGAACTTCGAGTCCTTTGTTCGTAAAAAAAAAAAAAAAAGTTGCCTATACTCTACAGCACGTTGCAGAACCAGCCCCAGCATTTTTTGGCTGTTGTGGTTTTTCGTGGCAAACTTTACGTTCAGTAGTTTGCCATCATTGCTTACTGAACGCTCTGCTTTCGTTAGCAATGTCGAAACCAACGAAGACAAATCCGTCCGCAGCTGGGATCGAACCAGGCATTACGAAACGCCTAAGCCACAGACTATAAAGCAATAAAGCAATGTAAAGACTATAAAGCATAAAGCAATAACCTAACTGACATTATCACCTTCATTTAGTAATCATATGGCAGCATTTGATAGAGCAATTGTGCCTAATACCTTTGACCTATTTAAACTGTGGTGGTACCTGTGTGGGAGAAAAAGCGTGGGGTTGGGGGCAGAGCTGATGCAAGGGGCGTGCGTGGGTGAGGGTGCGGGCCCCACCGGATGCCATCAGTGAAGGGAGGTGACGAAATTGCACAAATAAATTTGTAACAAACAAAATGTGCTTTTTTTTTAGGGTGACAGAAAATTTACCGCACCGTGTACCACCAGACCTTACAATGCTCCTGGGGGTGACAGGAAAACATCTACCACCTGACCGGGGTGCGGGATGGGGAGGGGAAAAAAAAAAGGGGGGGGGGGGGAGACAGATGCATTGAAATGAAACATGCAGTTTAAAACTGCCAAAAAATTACCAAAAAAAAAAAAAAAAATTATGAATCGGAAACAGCAAGCAGCTAGAGCGTACTACACGACAACAGCAGTCTACAAGTAAAAGGCCGGGAAAAAAAAGAAGTATGAGGGCAGTAACGGAGATACCACTGAAACGCAACATCATTAACAAAAAGCAATGCAGTTAACCAAAGACCTGAAAGTACATCTAACTCCGCTCTGCGATGCTTTGCTGTAGGACAGAGGAGGAAAAGAGGACATTTAAATGGATGCATGACTAAATTAACGAACTGATACCACGACACTCGGGAAAAAGGGGTGGCGGGAGGTGCGGGGGGGGGGGGGGGGGGGGGGTGTCATATCGCCAAGGGACATCACCTGAAAAAAAAAAGGTGAAAACTACTGCTTTCCATAGTTCTAACCTGCTCTATGAGAGTCAGCTGTTCCGCCAGTACATGAGCTGGACAATCGGCTAAGGAAAACGGCAATGATTTTCCATATTCAGGAGACAGTGGTTTGGTATGTGACCTGCCTTTGCCAAAGCTGCCGTGTGAGCCTTGGTTTGACTTGTCAGACCTTGACCGCTTCAGAAGAGACCGGAAGCTATCCCACTGAAGACAACAATATGAACATTAACAAAAAATGGTTCTTGCATGCATTAGTCACAGTTCAACTTTTCAAACAGTTCGTTTACTAATGGACCTGTTAGTAATCCTATTTATCCCGTTGTAGGATGAAATTTTTCGTTATTTTGAAGCCCTACCCTGGCTCTTGCCAGGCCATTAATATAGCCTGGCCATTAATTTGGCCTAGTGGCTGAACGCGGTTTCTGGGACCTCTCTACGGGTGATCCTCATCCACATGGTGGCACTTTGTGTCATCGGGTGTTTATCGCTGGTGTGATGTCCTGGTGGGGTAGAAAGTCAGTTCAGTTCATGGTCCTGTTATGATGTTATATGTCACATAGCGTTAGCAGTCTACTTTTTCATTCTGTTCAATCGTGTGCAATCACTTCTTTTTCATGGACAGAATCCAATCCAGCACCGCTAGCTTTTCCCATCAAAATTCACGTTAGGATTTCTCCTGGGCGTCCACATTTCCTGAATCCTTCTATTTCTTATTTCAGTGCCTGTTTGGTGATTCTCTATTCGTCTTTTAACAGAATTAATCCAACACAGCGCCATCTTCTCTGTCCTTTAACTGTCGATAAAAGTGGTCAAAAAATTAGCATGCCAAAATTGTTGACTTTGAGTTTATAACATACAATTAGAGACCCATGGGAGATGCATACCCGCTTAGCTCCATTTCTCAATTGGATTTCAAGGTAGTTAGTTGCGGATCGTTTACAGGACGTTGCAGAACCAGCCCAACCATTTCTTGGCTCTTGTGGTGTTTCTAGGCAAATTGTTTACGTTGTTACTACGCTTGCCATATCTTACTGAATGGTCAGCTCTCGGTACCACTATCCAAACCAACGCAAGACGTTCTATTTCCAAATCGCCCGCAGCTGGGATTGAACCCAGTACCCCGGCATCACCAAGCGCGTTCGAAACGCCTAAGCCACAGACGCCGACAATGATAAGTTCTAGGAAATAAAGAAGGTGGTCAGGGTGCTGGCAATCACAATACTTACTGAAGGCTAATTAGTCTAGAACATTATTAGCTTAGCATCACATTGCTGATGCACCACTCGCGTAAAAAGGGAGTCACGGTGGTGTAGCGGCTAGACGTTCGCCTGTTGATTAGAAGGTCGTGGGTTCGGGTCCTTACTGAACCAGGCTTTCTTAAAAAATGATCTCAGCTACCAGGTCGACACAGCAATGAGTGGGTGCCAGGTATAGTCCTGAAAAGTAAAGGCTGCCGGCGTTATGTTGACAATATCACGCGCCAAGTGTCGATTGGTCTTTAAAATATAGGTCTTCTTCTTCTTCTTGTGTTCGCTTTCTGATTCACACCGACAGACAGGTTCTTGTGATAAACTTGACTGTTTTTATGAGTTCATTTTTAGTCCCATACAACTTTGTGTGCAGTGGTGACTCACTGGGCCAGTATTCTCTTCTTAATGGGCTGAACAAGGGACATTCTTGCAGGACGTGTTCTGTAGTCTGCACACACAGCCCACAAGGGCACAAAGATGAACCACTTTGACGAAGCCTGTGCATATGCTGGTTAAGTCTGTTATGTCCTGTCCTGAGACGTAGGATAATGACCTGCCCATTATAAACTTTATTTAAGTTTTTTTTTTCATTTGCTCCCCATCCAGTACCTGCCAGTTTTCTAAGTAGGCTTAATCGTCTCCTGGCCTTCCCTTCTACATTTTCTATATGTTTGCTCCATGTGAGCTTTTTATCAATGTTACTCCAAGATAAGTGGGGAAGCTTTCTTCCTTTAGCAAGGATGTTCCTAGGTGAATACTAGCAGCTTTGTCCCCGGGGGAAAGAGAGAAAAGCTTTGTGGATGTTTTGTTTGTGCTGATGGCAACATGCCACTTTTCTGCCTATGTCATTAAGAGATCTGCTGCTAGCTGCATTCTTAGATTTGCCACTGTGGTGTGTTCATCAGTACACCAGAGTGCTAGATCATCTGCACACAGGGCAGCTTTTACTCCTGTAGGCAGGTCTTTTACCAGGTCATTTATATAAACAAGAAAATATAGGTCTAATCCTATGTGCCCAATACTCCTGAAGGCGTGGAAAAGGGTCCTTTACTTTAGTTCACTTACTTGCATAAAGGGTCTTTGTCCTCACCTAATTTTGCCGAAATATGCATCTCTGAAAAAGATCAGTGCCGGCGAAAAAAAAAAAAAAAAAAAAACTCGCTATGAGAATGTTTCTTCAAAGATGAACTTAGCTAGAAAGTCCAGCCAGCCTAACATTTGTACTAAGAGTGTCTTGGAGGGTAAAAGTGGCCAGAGTGATATTTACTGCGTTACCCACCTAGTGCCGACTGGTCTGCAAATATGAGTCTGGGATCATACAAGTATAATATCACCTGATACCTTTTTTTTTTTAGTGTGGGTTCCACCTGGGAGTCAAGGTCAATTTTGAATGCAAATCGTCTGGATGAGGATTCAAACTCAAGACCTTTTGCCGGCAGGCAAGCGTTTAACCACTACGCAATCCACTGTATGTAGACCGAGATTTCGAGGTTTACAGAAGTGGTGATGATTGCAGAAAAATAGGCTATTTGTATTTATGTCAAGGTCTTAAGTTCAAATCCACACAGGGCGGAAAAACACCCAAACGTCTACCTATTCTACAATGGATACTGAGAAATGGTCTAAAAAAGTCAAGATGACCTGCAAAATATTCATCAAAATAGCCGTCCAGTACTAGCTGGTCTATATGCAAGCTGCATCATATGGCTGATAATCAACGCTCAGAGTTAAGACAAGACGGATGAATAATCAGATTGCTCGTGGCAACATTGTTACTGGAACTCTGGGCTGGTTGCTGAAGATGGGGACAGAGCGCTTATGGGAATGCACCGAGAACTATGATGTCGGTTCTTGAATTAACTCAACTCAACTCGTTTCATCATATCACCGATGCGCCACGCGTGAAACGTATTCTGTATTTATTGTTACTCTTTGATTTTAATATTTTGATTTTTCGAGTTTTTTAATGATATTTACTCCATGTATGGTATTTACTCCATGTATGGTATTTACTCCATGTATGGTATTTACTCCATGTATGGCATTGACTCCATGTATGGTATTTACTCCATGTACTCACCCTTTTGGGAACGCCCATGCTAAAAAGATAGACCCCTTCCTCTGAATCATCTGGAATCTCCGTCGTATGCACTAACTCGGCATTCTCTCCCATTCTGCAGGCAGCATACAAACTGAAGAGGCTGTCTATACATTCCATGTTAGCATTTGTCTTAGTTTAGAGGGAGAGAAAAAAAAAAACAGAGAAGTTTATTTTCAATGCAAAATTTTTTTAAAATTAGCATAATAACGTTTATAAATTTAAAAGATTATAGAATCGAGGCTCGATTTCATTGCACATAGCTTTATTCCTCATAGCTCAGCCTCTCTGCAGAACATCTAATCAAAGAGAGTGCTCCACAAAGCACGAACATTACTCAAGCGAGGATCCTAATAAAACAAGATTAAACCAAGTCTAAAAAAGGTACGACGCTTTGACTTTCCAACAGAAACAATAGACCAAGAAAATTTTTTTTTATACTTTTGTTACTCATTTCTTCCACAGGAACAAAACGTTCATTTTCTTTACTTGCAAGCATATTTTGTCATGACCAAACAGGAAACACAGACGACGACTCTTATGTTAATCAATATTTTTACACAAGAAAGCTTGGTTATTACGAATTCCAAGGGACTGAAAGATCAATCAAGAGTTCGTGTTATACCAATTCGGGCAACGCCTGGTCTAAAATATTTTGATACTACAAGTACATCCCTGCCAAGACCAACATTTTGTTTATGTTAAACAAGTGTTCGTCTTATGCGACTTTCTGTTAACAAGATTTACGGTATTAGAAAGTTTGGGGACAGCTAGCCCCTAATTTACAAAACAAGACAATCCGAATCAGCACGAAGAAACATCTCATACAAAGCATATTCCTTCCCACACTGTGCTACTACTGCACGATGTGGTCACTCACAACAAATCAGAAAACAAATTGAGAAACCATGGAAACCAAATGTGCGAGGTCTGCAGCAGTGATCAGGAGAGATAAATTCAGGAATGGGGTCATTAGTGAAAGCGTCGGCACAGAACCAATTACATACAAACACGGCGGCGTCAGTGGTTTAGGCGTTGAGAGTCCGACTCGTAATTCTAACGTATCGCGATCAAAACCCACTGCTGGCTGCGTGGATTTTTATCATGGCATGGAGCGTCGCAGGTCGACCCAGCCGTAAATGCGTACCAGTATGTATATCCTGGGAAAGTAAAGACGGCCGGCATAAGGCTGACCACATTGCCCACCTAGTGCTGATTGGTCTGTAAAAAAATCGGTGCTCTTCCCATATGCTCGATGCGCCTAAGGCGTAACTAGGGATCTTTACCTACTTTACTTACATACACACACAGAAAATCATTTACCAACTTAGGGGATACACTAAAAGAGGAGAGGGTCGAAGAGACCAAGAACAATATTGAAAGATTACATAAAAAAATCTCGAATGCAGCATGATTTGTCTATAGTCGAGGCAGACAGAAGAGCTATCTATCTATCTGCTTTTACCCCACCAGGACATCAAACAAGCGATAAACACCCGACGACACAAAGTGTCACCATGTTGATGAGGATCACCATTGGAGAAGTCCCGGAAATCGCGTTCAGCCCTTAGACAATATTTAAGGTCGGGCTATTTTGCGGCCGCTGACAGGAGCCAGAGTTAAGCTTCAAATAACGAAAAATTGCAACCCACAAAGGGATGACAAGATAGACAGAAGAGCAAAAAGCAGATCCTTATGTATCCCTCGATACCTGAAGCGGTAAAAGAGGAGATAAAGAAGAAGGAGACTGTATTATAAAAACAAGTTAACATCCTACCTGTTCTGTCAAAAAGTCGGCAAACATCTTTAAAAGGCTTTTGTTTGGTGCAAAGTCGATAGAATAAAACCCTTCTACCCAAAAATGGAGAAGATCTGTCGATCTGCATTGTATGCGAGTCATGTTGGCATCTTTCTGACTGCTCCTAAAGAAAAAAAGAAAAAACAAGTGTTATAAAGTATAAATTGCTGACTTTTTTTTTTGCCCAGAGTTAATTATTTATAAGGTGCAGCAATGGTTTAGTGGTTAGATGCTCACATGTGGATCCGTATGTCGTGGGTTCAAATGCAAACGGAGCTGGACATTTTCAAAAATGACCTTGGCTCCCAGATTGACTAAGCCCTAAATAGGTATCAGATAAAGTCATGGGAAGTAAAAGCGGACCGTGTAGTGTTGACCATTTAGCCCACCAAGTACCAACTGGTCTATAAAATATTGGTCTAGTACTATACGCCAAATGCGCTTGAAAGGATGGAAAAGTGTCTTTCACTTTACATTATTTACGCGATATAACATCCCCTGAGAAAATATACCAATTAAGGCCTAATTCAAGGAGTCAATATACACTGTACAACAGGGGCACTGAAACATATGGCTTAGGACCACTTGAGGCCCCTTCCTCTGAAACAATGTAGAAGAAAAAGTGGGGGGAGGGGTGTTTGCTGAAACACCCCTCTCTTTAAGGTAAAGTAATCTCCAATAACCATGTATATAAATTATCTTTAAAAGTATAATAACATTTCATATTATTTCAGATGTATATTGTTTGTTTTTATCATTCACAATATTTTAGCTATAATGCTCTTAAACTTTGATTAAGCGACCTGAGTCCCTATCGTATTGGCATAGAACAGGGGTTCTCATCCTGACGGTCGCGACCTTTTCTTTTGAGTCGAACGACCTTTTCACAGGGGTAGCTAAGACCATCGGAAAACACACTTTCAGTGCAGTTATGGAGGAAAATATTTGTTTAAAGGTCGCCACAACATGAGGGAACTTTATTAAAGGGTCGCGGCCTTAGGAAGGTTGAGAGCCACTGGCTTAGAAGATATGTATGGTTGCGAGGGTTGAGCAACCCGAATGTTTTCTTTGTGTTGAGGCGCCTGCATTGCAACATCATGAAAGGCTTACATGTTTCTCCGCAAATGTGAAGTTCTAGTACTAGGACTTCACACCTGACTAGGTTATAAGCGTTGAGTGGGAAATGAGATCTCTGCCACACAATCTATGATGAGATGGTAATTCAGCAGGGAGGAAAGTGACACTACTAAATAGATGGCAGCTGAATTTAGGACCTAGGCCATTTGAGCGTCAATGCATATGTTAGTTGCGTATCCTTTACAGGACGTTGCAGAACCAACCCCAACAGCCCCTGGCTGTTGTGTGGTTTTTCTACGCAAATTGACGTCCAATAGTTTGCCATTGCTTCCTGGACGGTCGGCTTTCTTGATACCACTGTCAAAACCAACGCAAGGCGCATGGCCCGCAGCTGGGATCGAACCAGGCATTCCGGAATTACGAAGCGTTTACATCGACTTAGCCACAGAGCCGACGTCAATGCATAACACTTTCAAATTACAGTTTAAAATTTTTTAGAGCAGTGGAGCAGAGCAATATTTTATGCAATCTTTCTTTGTCAATTGATAAGAGACAGATAATTCTTAAAAGCTATATAAATACTATCTTGATATACCAGAAGTGAATCATGGACAATTGGTAAATTAGGGAAAACTCATTTCAAAGCTGAGGAGATTTGGTTTTTTATACGAATCATGAGAATAATCTGGACAGATAAAAAGAGTATTAAAGATATCTTGAATGAAACTGATTCACTAAGAGAACTGACTGCCCACATCAGAAAGAGACAATCTACATTCTCTAATCATGTGATGAGAAGGAGAAAACTGGAGTACATCGTGACAGTAGGAGGGGAAGAGAGGCAGAGGGAGACCGAGAGAAGAGATGCAGGACAGTCTGACGTCGTGATATATCGGATAATCTGTGTCAGAGTTGATATAAAGTATACCAGACAAAAGCTTGTGTATAGAAATGACTACCAACGCCACACGGCATGGACTTTTAGAAGAAAAGCAGTGGTTTTCCACCTGGAAGGTGCGTCGCCTAGGGTGCGCAAGAAAGTTAAAAAAAAAAAAAGTAATTGTGGGAGGTGGGAAGAGGGAAGCATTAAGCAGTTTTGAAATTAACTGACTGACTGACATTCTATCACACAAGCGATAAACACCCGATGACACAATGTGCCAATATGCGGGTGAGGATCACCGTGGAGAGGTCCCAGAAACCGCATTCAGCCTTTAGGCCATATTTATGAACAGGCTATATTGCGGCCCCTGGCAAAGCCAGAGTAGGGCTTCAAAAAACGAAAAATTTCATCCTGAAAAGGACGAAAAGTGAATTTTGAAAAGTAAATTTGTACATGTAATAATCAGTTATACTGATAGTTTCTTTTAAAGTTTAATTATAAATAAAATACTGTTAAAACTACGCATAAATAAAAATAAGGTCAAGTACATTTTCTTTATTCGACATTGACTTATATAGCTGTGATTAGATTTTTAAGAGTTGTTTTTCTTTATAAAAAAAAAAAAAAAAATGGAGGGGGGGGGGGAGGGGGGGGGGGGGTATCGTGCAGGTGTCTTGTCATATATTTAAAGGGCCGTCACCGGAAACGGGTTGCAAACCACTGTTCTAGAAGGTTCACACACAACTAAAAATCTGCAACAAATCACATTTTGTATAATAACAAATTTATAATCGATCACAGACCTGCGAGCCGAGTTGTACTTTTCAACAATGAAGTTGAGTAGCTGGTCTGACGTCAAGATGTAACGGAAGCAAAGCAGGAACTGGTGGATGAATCCAACGCTCAGAGCTGACCTAAATGCATGTTCAAACAAAGTGATCGTCAGTATTGATATGTGTCCAGAAAACAAGTATTTATATATTTATCAACACTGATTACAAAGCATGATTTGTTTTAAAGGATTTCAAAATGACTGTGAAACAAGAATGACTTGAATTGCTATAGATTCATTATCATGTAGCAGTTCCTTTGCAAGACGTCACTCTTATTAGGGTCTGCTTGAAAGAAACTCGGTCTCTAGCCAGGTCTCCCGGCTTCATATCCAAAAAGTAACTTATATCCTGTGCCCATCTTCATGCTGGTCGGCCCCTGCCCTTCTTCCTGGTACCATGCCTTCTGATATTAGTTATTCCAATCCGCCATGGCGCTAGATATGGCCAAAATATTTCAGTTTCCGAGACAAGATGATGTTTAATAACCAATCTTCCGTGACTTTCAGTTTTTTAGAATGTCAGTATTTCTTTTCTTCTTTGTCTATGGGATTCTGAGAATCTTTCTATAGCATTTCAGCTCAAAACCCCCTATTTTGTTCTGTTCTGTTTTGACTGAGAGATAGTCCGTGACTCACAGCCGAATATTGCTACAAGGAAGATGCATGATCTCAGATTGTTAGCTTTGATTTCCTTGCTGGTGCTTAACCATAGACTTGTAATGCTGTTTAACTGTTACAATGCTATAACGACCTTTCTTTTGGCTTCTGTTGAACAGTCTTCATTGCAGTTTATTATGGAGCCGAGATATTCATACTTTGTGGCATTTTCAGTTACCTCTTCATTTTTTTTTTTTTTTTTAATAAGCAAACAATTTTGCTAAACATTATGAAATATGAACAAAATATCACTAGAATTGTACACACATGTTTTTGTAATTAATTATAATAATGTGAGCATGTCCTAGAATGTCCATGCAGATAAGGACTTAGTCGCTGGTGGTTAAAGTAAAAGTCTCCATCTCATAAATTACTATTATAAAACTTGATTTAAAAGTGCCCACTTTATGCATGTGGCATACGATGATGGCATTTTTTTCCAAGACCTACTTGCAGTAGACAGGTGGTATGGTCAACATCACGCTTGCCGATTTTACTTCATAGGGCATCACCTAGAATTCATTTTAGGGTAAGTCGAGGTGGAAGCTAACATCGTTTTGAAACATATCCACCGAATGCGGATTTGAAGACAATGTCATCATCATCAAGTGCCTTGCCAGCTGGCGTAGGCGTTCATGCGTCGCCACAGATCTCGGTATTTGGTGTTCTGGATCAATTCTACTGATGATATTCTTCCATGCCACTGTCTTAAGCCATCCACAATCATTTCTCTTGGCCTGCCTCTGCCTCTTCTACCAGTAATCTTTCCAGTCATCACGATTTTTCCAGTTCTTTTTTTCTCATTACATGTCCAAAGAACTGTGTTTGTCGCCTTCTCGTTGTCGTATATATAACTTTCTACTTTCATTAACCATTTCCAGACACTCAGTGTTGATTTTGCAATGTGTGTCTGCAACGTGGCGTGACTGAAAGTTGGTTTAAATCAAGACAAACTATTTATATAGCAGTGTATGATTGTGGCTAATATTGATTCCACCCTAATCTTTATCAGTACGCCTCCTTATGTTCCCATGGTCTTTCTTCCGTGTAATGCTGGCACTGCAACATACGCACAGCCTTCGTCTTGCTAGTTCACATTTGCGCCCATGTGGAATGTATGTGCAGACAGCAGAATATGTCCTGCAAGTCTGTCACTTGTACAACCTATTAAGAAGAGAACACTTGCCCGATGAGTCAACACTATACTCAAAATTATGTCACAAAAACTCATCTGTCTGTGTACATCTGAGAGCGACCACAAAAAGGTGAAAGAAGAACCTACGTTGGTTGGTTAATCAGTCGACAGATTATTCCTCACTACACCTCGAACCATTCAGTCCATAAATGCTCGGATCCCCTCCTTGGTAAATCCCACACGCTTGTAGCGGTTGACGACACCGGTACTGTGTTGGTATCTTATTCTTCTTTGGCTTCCTGCCTGGTGCCCTTGTCAGGCTACATCCTTTTTAATACCTTGCTGTGAAAGAAGGTTGCACTGCTATACTTAAGCAGAGAAACTAGTTCTGATTCAACAGGAAACTTGAAAGACAATTCAATCAAGGGTGCTGGTTAAAACACACAAAAGACAAATATGTAAACTGAATTTTTTTTCTTCCCACCCTGTTACCGCTGTGAGACACTCTAGTGCTTAGGTGAACAAAGGTTCGTACGTGTATAAATAGAGTACATGTTTTGAAGCCTTTTGGTATTTAATGCTTATGGTACTAGTCTCATGTTTCATCATTCAATGAGTTTTGTCGTCAATATCATGATAGACCCCTTTACTTCTGAGAACATTTCCTAGTGCTCATTTTGAATCAGTCAACCTGGAAACCTAGGTCATTTAAAAACCATATGTAAGCCGACGGGGAATTCGAACATAAAAACCACCCTGCTGACAGGCAATTGTGCTAGCCCATATTCTCGCCCCGCCAAAATAATGACGTAAATATGAATATACCAATGAATGACCAAAAAGACAGCAATCAACAATAAAACTGTATCATACGATGTATAGAGATAAGACATGAGGCCTCTTGGTGTTCCAGCTTGCAATACTGTCATGTGTTCACCATCCAAGGCGCTGATGGTACGGAACTGAAAAATACGAGAAATTAAAAACAAGACATACAATATTCACATACCGTACATACAATATTCAAATTCCGTAGATTCAACATTCACAGACCGTTGATACTTGTAGGCAATAAAGTGAGTGGAATACGATGCTGGTAAATAAAGTCTGAATTTAGGGTTAATATTTTGTTGCTCCGATTATCGTGGATTTTCAAAACGTTGTTGAATGGAAAGTATAAAAGCTATTTAATTGGTGTAATAGTGTGCTTACAACTGTTTTAGCAGGAAAGTGCACTTAATATCTATATTGATGGGAGAATACAGAAACCATCGTGCTGGTGCCCAGTTGGGGGGACGGTGTACACGTGGCATTGGGCAACACTGCTATTTAAATAGACAGAAAGAGTTACCTTACTGAAGACAACTACCCACAAATACTTGCGGAAAAACGATGTACTTGAGATCTGCAAAGGAAATGCTAGTCTCGCCATAAACTGAGAGAAAGGGTGCAAAAAATGTCAGTAGAGAAAGAGGTACTTATACTAGATGTTGAGGTTTTAAGGGTTTTAACCAAGTAAACCCGTTGGGGAGGGGGGGGGGTATAATTGGGTTTTTTTTTGGGGGGGGGGGGATATACCCTATTCGTGAGAGTGTGCACTATCTATTGTTTAACGGGTGTGTGCCCAAACCTACTTGTTGACGATAGAGTATACTAGCAGATGTTTTCTGCGAGAGTACACTAACCAGCGTTTTCTGCGAGAGTACACTAGCCAATATGGCAGTGTGAAAGTGCATTGCCCACTGTGTTGGTAAATGAGTGCCCAAGCCACAGTGTTGGAGGGAGAGTGCAAGAACCATCAAGTTAGTGGGAGAGTACACTAATTACATACAGTGTTGGTGTAGCTGTGCACAAATCCTTGATGTGGTGACTGAATGCGCCAATCTCAGGGTGTAATTAAGTAGTACAATAAACACTTCTGGGGAGTGTAGTAATCATTATGCTGCTACAAATCCTTATTATTTATTCAGTTTGGTTGGAGTGATAAAAAACACGTATTCACGTTTCAAAGAGAAGTATTTAACAAAATATGCGAAAGGTAACTAATTTGTCTTCCAGATAACTGAAACAATATGAGGCCTGTCATTCCTTGTGTGTGAACAAGAGTCTGAATAACATACAAAAATAAAAAATAAAAAACGGTACAAAATATTACTTTTTGGCTGAAGAAAACTATTACTTATTACGGAACTGGTGAGGTCACTGTGACATCTTATTAAGCCAAGTCCAAGTAACTGAGAATAAGTAATTAAGACCTCAGCTGCAATATCCTCTATATGAACGTTTTTACTTCAATCTTAATATTAATTAAATGTCAGTTTTGCTGTATAACTCATAGTGAATCTTAAATTAAAATGCTTAATAACAACTTTTATGATTTATCAGGTAATCGCAGAATTTCCATCACTGTCTTTTGTGAAAAAATTTGGCACAGACGGCAGTCTTTGCAAATCCAGCAGCATACACGTGCTTTAAATTCATAATGCAGCAGTCAGAAGTGCCAAAACAAACGGTCTAACACTATAAATGCAGTTCGTCGTTGGTGGAAGGGAGCACCAGTTATAACAGATCAGTAGTTGCACATGCAATTAATCGCATAAGGCACCTCAAGTTCTCAACAAGGTCATTCGTCAGTTTTTGAACCTGCAATTAACAACGCAACCCACATTAAGCACAGTAGAAAAGTATTCCAAACAACAGCTACAGCCAGCGCACAGTGTCACACCATGCACTTAACTCTGTAGCTGGGAGATAGAACTATATTCTTTCAGTCTTTATATGGAGGAAAATGTAACAGCTAACCATTGTAAAAAGCAAAAATCTGCCACGACTAAAATCCGTAAAACTGCCTATCCACCATATTGACTGAAAGCCTTTATTTTTTACACTAATAACGTTAGATTTGCAGTTACTTGTAAATGTGGATTCTTTGTGACGGGCTGCAAATTCAGAGCTGAACTGCCTTCACTGACAGTCAAGGAGTATAGAAGAGTTGCATCTAGGCCATCCAATTCTGCAAGCAGCATCTGGACAAAATACAGAAGCTATCTGTTACTGTTCAAAAATTACCTCATTAAAATTTGTTTTTGTTTGTTTGTTAATAAAATATTTGTTACCGTCTAATATCAAGTGCTAGGACTATGCTGGTTCTTTTCCTAAGCCCTACCGTGGGATTGTGGCTTATGGGTACCAAACCAGTTTCATAGTTGCAGCATCATTGGTTCGAGTCAACTGCAAATAATTTGACAGTAGACCGCTTTACGTTGATTTGAACAATGTATAGCTTCGACCGTGCAAGAGCAATGATAAACATTTTCTTTTCTGTTTCTTTTGCTCTACATTTCTCAATGGAGCAAAGGCTTCAACCACGCAAGTTTTCCTATCTTATAGATCACCACATACTCTCATTGTCTTTCTTTTTTTTTTGCTCTCCCCTTTACTTTATTTGAAAACAAAATGTAAATCTTGATCCAAAACATGATTCAAAGGCTGAATGCATCGTCCTGGTTGCGTCGTATCTCTGTTTTCTATGGAGAAATACATTCCTGAACTTGAGCAATGCTTTCCTTGTTACAGTTGCCATGATGCTTGTCTACTTCCAGTTCCCCCTGTGACTACCCTCCAGTCAGAGCCACTAGTAGGAAATTATAATGTCATCTTCTCCTTTATAAGAATGCTAGAATAAATCAATCAGTACAGCTCACGTTTGTCACCGCATCTCGTTCTACTGCATGATTTCGTCGCGGTTCCCAGTGGCTGTACAATGCTAAAGGGGTGTTATGAGATGTTTGCTGTCTATACATGGCATGCCGAAAAGTGACCCGGGATCGTTGGACGAGATCAACACAATGTCTCCCAAACGAAACCGCGCAGCTTTCTTTTCGCAACTCTTTCTCTCTCTCTCTCTCTCTTCTCTCTCTCTCTCTCTCTCTCTCTCTCTCTCTCTCTCTCTCTCTCTCTCTCTCTCTCTCTCTCTCTCTGTGTGTGTGTGAATTTGCGCTGTTTCTCGAAGGTTGACACTCAAATGACTACCTTCACGACTAGAGAGACAAGCTTATGGTTGGTTCATCAGACAATTGTTAGACTTTGGCCTTTGGCAGAAAGATACTGGCAGACATTTATCGGATACTTTGGCTTTAAAGGGATAAGAAGCTCTTTTTCCTCTAGGGTCTCGGACCAGTCTACCAAGGCCCATCCACCACGACGTTCTGTGGTGCCCAGAGCCAGCTCGAAGCTCTTTCAGCAGCTTCGTCCAGTTGTTTTAGTATCCGTTTAGGCTCGTTTCCTCGCAAGCTCAGCTGCTTTAGCACATTGTACATGGAAGTAGAGATAAGACCTTTTTGCGCCTACCTCGACGGCGAAGATTTTTATTGCGTACGCTTCGTCTCTCCTCAGATCAATCACAAGCTCCCATAGTTCTCGAGCTTTTACTGGTGATTTTCTTCCACCCGCGACTCGTACGGAACGGTCAGCTTAATCAGGATAAGATGGCGTTTTCCCGCAGATTGCAGAACCATGTCAGGTCTCAGGTCGGTCTTCCGGATTGACTCTGGTTACCTTTCGAAACCAGACAGGTCAAAAGCCAGTAACCAGTCCGTCACACAGTCAAGTACGGATGGAGCGTATGCGACCTTGTTAATTTTAAAAATCTGCCCAGTCTTGAGGAAGCACATAGGGGTGACTGTAGGACTGGCCCTCGCGTTGGCCCTCATCCTGGCCTGGTCCACAATGACCGATAATTCTTTCAGGACTTCCTTTGTGGCGCCAAGTATATCGTTCCTGACCGCTTTCCTGAACGCGGACAATATGTATTTGAGCGTCTGCTTAGCTCTTCACAGTGGGCATGTCGGGTCGGTAGTCGCATGCCATTTCGCCATATTGACGCCAGACGGTAACACGTCGTACACAAATCTTACGCCAAAGCTCAGCCGCAGCGGTGCCATTCGTCCGATCTCACCCCATGAGAGTATTCGTGGCAAGGCCCTCTCAAGGCCGATCCACTGGCCTTGTTGAAACTGCTGCGCGGCTTTTTGGACCGGAGTCTCGTTTTCGGCGTCCCTTATCTGCTGAATTACCATGTCTCTGCGATCTTTGCCGTGGCTTTTGACCCCAACTGACTTTTCCGTGCCCCAGGCTGCGTTGGTCGGCCCTAAATATAAGCTACGAGTTGAGTGCCGTTTCTGGGACTTGAGCCTTGGTGATTCACACCCAAAGGGTAGCACTGTATATTACCGGCTGTTTATCGCTTTTCGCGCGGTCCTGGTGAGGTTGAACGTCAACTCGTCAGTCACAATGTAGGTACTACACATTTCATTTCAATCTGGATGATTTTCCCTTCTGTGTTTAAATAATTGTTTATGCCATAGTAGTATATTTACTGCGATTTTCTTTTCTTTTAGGGCTTTTGTTTGTTGTTTCGTGTTGTTGCATGTAAGCTTGTACTTTATTTATTGCAATTGCAATTTCTCAAGGCTGACCTATAATCCATGTTTTCTGAGTGTCTAAATTTTAGTATCTTAATCGCAGTTATACCTAATGTTCATTAATACGTAAGACAAAACAGTTGATGTTTACACTATCTTATGCGACAATACATTATAAGACAATAGCAATAGTAGTTCAGCATGAAAATGAATAAATATATGGAATAATCAGCAATGTAGTTAGACAAGGGACGAAATGGCAACACGAAAATATCCCTAACCGTTAACCTACCTGATAGTGTGTTTGACACAGGTTTAAGAAAGATAGCTTTCTCGACATGTCGGTTATATCCCTCATTATCTGCTCAATCACATTGTGGTCACCTAGAAAAAAAAAACATTTCAGCCGATAACTTTAACGGTGTGGACAAAAATCTTTATATATATATATATATATATATATAAATATATATATATATATATATATATATATATATATACATATA